TCATTTTTTTTCCATAAAATTTGGTCAAGGTGACAGTTTACACATGAGCTAGGTATGACACGTAAGGTAAAGAAATCCCTCATGGCAAAGCAAGCCTAGATGTTCTTGTAAAGTCTACTACTGTGAGAGTAGTACAAAGACAGTATTTAAATTATTGTAGGTGATACTTCAAGATATTCCTTGATACACAGTTTGCCACATAATTCAGTTGAATTATGTTGCTACGAGTAGGCAATGTATTCGTTACACCAGTATAACTGGTTCTGCAACAAAGTTTTCCTTCAAAAGGTTGAAACCACTGCTGCCTCTTGGAGAATAAGGAGCCCAAACCTGGACAAAATTCCATGCTTAAAGTTAGACATAAAAACTACAAAACTGAACTGATAACTGATGTAAATACTGCTAAATATGCTGATATAAATAATAATATAATTGATGTAACTGATACAAATGCTGATTTAACTTGGAGTACTTAGTGACTCACTTCTGAATTAGACTGCAAGCTGCATGCACCTGTCCACAATCTGTTCCTTACAGTAGGCAAACTGGAAAGACAGAGTTAATCACTGGAAGGTATTTCGAACACATCATTAGCCTTTAACATTTACACCAAGGTCAATTTTTTTATTTAAGCATTTGCACAAGCCGCACAATTAAGCAGAGAAACATGAAAAGAAATGGTGATTTTTTTTTCCTTATTTTATTGGGTAAATGATTTAAAAGGTAATAACAATAGTGTTAAAACTACTACAATATCTTTCCACAGCCATATCTCACAGACCCACAGATAACCTTCTATATATATATATTTTTTTTTTTGCTTTTTCCTCATTTTTCTCTTTTTAAGCCGTACTTGTATTAAAATGCCCATTTCAACAGTTTCTTCACACTAATAGCAATTAAATGTGGAAGGAAGGAGGATCTAGTTATAAAGGAAGGGGGTTCAGGTAATCTGTGGTATTACTGTAATCAATCAAGTTACTAAGGAAGGAAGGAAAAGACAGAGGCCTTACAAGCTACTCCAGGTAGCTCTAAGCCTGTTGTGTGTCACCATTGCATTAAAGATAACTCAAGATGCTGGTGAACAATTTAAAGTAATTTTTTTTTGTAACATATAAAACACTAAAATAACTTAGAAACTAGATCCAAATATCTTGAAAAGAATCAACTTTGATATACAAAAACAGTCATAAGTTGTTACAAAAGTTTCAAACAAAAGTTTGTTTTTTCAGTGCGTTTATGTACCAGCGCAATTACTGGGTCCAGAGCAAAGAAAGAGGTTTTTATTTTTTATTTTTTTCTTTAACAGTAATAAAAAACGAGGAAAACATATCTTTGTATATAAAGAATCATTGCTGGTCTTAAGAATAAATGTAACCAGAAACCCTTTAATCTGAGAGGCACACTTTGGGTTTCTCTTTTTTTCCCCCCCAACTTTTTTTTTTTTTTTTTAAACATAAAAGGAAAGTCACCAGTTTATTTAAATGGAGGAGATATTCAGACTCCCCAAATAAACTTAATTGAATTAACATCACTAGCAAAAATCAGTTAGAAACTGTACAAAAATAAAAAAGTTAACACATTTAATCCTGCAGGGGTTTTGTAAGGACTGGAAGGCAGGCTTTAGGAGCAGCATTTGGGCATGGCTGGAGGCTTCTTTGGTTCGATCTAACACACATAAGAGATGTAACCTACTCCAGACAACAGTTTTAAAAACCCGCACATTTGAAGACAAGTAGAGAGGTCCATATACAAACACCAGGGTGTGCAAATGGATTTGACTGCCTTGATTTAATAGTATATCTGAGGTCAGCACTCTAGTGTGCCCTCCCCCTGCTCTGATAAGCATTGGGGTTGAGATGGTGAAAAGTCAGTGCTACAGCAGTCTAGGCAGAAGGAAGGCCACTTGAAGCATGACTAAGTAATAGTTTCATGTCAAGTCTACAGTTTTCTTGTCTAACTCAGTTTACAGAACAGGGTTTTTACAAACGTTAAGCAAAAGAATTAAACCCCCCCCCCCAACAATCTCTTTAATGAATAAGGCAAACTGAGTAGTGCTCATAAAAAATTAGCATTCCAACTTAAAAAACAGTGAAATAAGCTACTTGGTTGTACCTTAGCTTCTTATAAAGTACCCCAAATTAAAAAACCCCAACTTTAAAAATCTGCATCTAAAACCAGCAATATATCTAAAAGGGTACTAAACATAACTACGATGGAATGACATTTGTGAAAGTAACTGTTGATCAGCTTTAAGCAAACAGACCTATTCTGTCCCAGTGCATGTCACAGTGAACTGCACGCTTTGTACAAATAAACCCACAATTACACAGAAACAATCCATAGCATTTTCAGCACTTGTGTGCTGAGGAGGTAGGTGCCCTAGAAACACTGTAGATAGACTGATTATTCCAAACTTTAAAAAAAATATCATACAATCTGATTGACCACAGACTCTGTAACAGTTTAATTAGTGATACAAAACTCTGGTCCAGAAGGGTCTGGCATTAACTCATGTCAAAAGCACACCTTTACAGTTTGTATAACACCCTTTTAACTATATTTTTAAGCAACAGCTACTAAGAGATAGACAAAAATGCATTGTGCATTATGCTGTATACAAAAAGGAGACAAAACTATCCTTTTCCCCCCCAAGCCATGGTGGGAAGTATTGCTGACCTTGTCCTTAAAAACCTGCAGGATTGTTTATTCATCAGTATATCATTATTACACTGGTAAGAAATTCTGTATAACATCTGCATATATCGAAGATTTTTTAAAAAATCTGATATGATTTTAGATCCGCATGACCAGTCACGTGACCTGCTTGAGGTTGATTAGCACCTTTCAATACATATATATTTTTATATATAATAGATCTTTTTAAAAAACTTCTAACAATGAGCTCATACAGAAGCATGAGCATGCTGTAACGAGATGACAGACAAAGATGGGGTTGGATGACTTTTTTTTTTTTTGCAGCAGAATGATTCAGTTTGTGCTCAGTTTCCCTATAAGGGCAAGAAAAAAAACCAACAGAACTCTATCAGGTAGCCACTTGTTCACAATTTCCACTTGAAGATTAATTCATTTAAAAGTGTTCCCCAAGTAGAAACAAGACAACAGTATCATCCAAAATAGCCTCTGTATAAACATCTATTAATTTTTGCAGCTTCTGGCTGGCATCTCTTGGCTCCTGAAATTTCAGGCCCTCTGCTTATAAATTAAGGCATCACAACTGAAAATGTTAATATTTGGATATCAGATGCTGTGGATGAAGGAATACCAAAGACCTTCTACAAGAACCTCCATAGAAATGAAGTGGCAAAGCTAACCTCACATTAAGGGATGAGCATAACTTACCCATATCTGGTTTTGAAACATTTTTACAATTAGTCTGATTTTTTTTTAACAACTGAATTTTAATTGATTTTATCTATTTACAAACATTCATTATTCAAAGTAACTGGAATTTCTTCTTACTGTGGTTTACTCATTCATATTAGGAAGGTAATTTCTAGAATAGATGGCATGTATTGTCCCCTAAAATATGCACTAAAATTCAACAGGTATTCGTGGGAGTTCTGCAGGCACGTGAGCAAGGAGCTAGCTCCTACCATATACTGGGCTTGCAAATATACCACGCATACCTTCTACTAAATCCTATTTTTACAGCAGGAAACAGTTCCAATCGGTTTTCTTTCTTCTACTGTGTGGAGGGGTATCAGAATTAATACACAGTACTTACAGCTCTCAAGTACTATTCCTGTAATAGATGAAAACATGTAAATTGTGGTATAATTGTCCTGTGCTCTTTCAAAACAATCTTTTTTTCTTTTTTTAAACAATAGGTAACTTTAACTATTCATGACTTGATAAAACTCAACAAGTTCAAAACCAGAACAAAGAACAAAACAGGGATTTTTCTTTTCCAAAATAGGTTTGCTATAAAAAAAAAAAAGTCTCACTTTAAAAAAAAATCCCCAAAAACCTGATGCCAGAGCAGATTCAATATAGTTTGCTAGAATGTCTGGCATATTTGCTATATTTTGTCTATGAATTTTATATATAAGTATATAGTTACGTCATAGTCAAAGGCACTAAAATCTAAATTAATTTTCTTCCTAACATGACATCTGCTACTCACCAACCTGTTTTTAAAACCAAATGTCACTCCTAATTTGAGATCATTAGAAAGGCATCATCTCATTACAAATCCATTATTATGACTAGTCTTGACAGGGCTGGATTGCCCTCGATTCCCAGCACAGAATGGGAGACATAGGTATCTGGTAGCTTACTGGATTATCTCACGCCCTGTCCATTAGACCACTTGATTCTGAAAACACTGCCGTGTTAACATCACCTCTCATTGTACATGTAATTGCTTCTCTCCATCCAAAAAAAAAAAAAGGATTTTGTAGGTCAGCCTTTGACATTTTGGCTGTATGTGCTGGATCTGAAGACCATGTATATAGCTACATGAAATCTATACTGTGGGGGTGAGACACTGTACACACAACATTATTAAGAACATTATGAAAATGCAATTCATTGCCTAGTATAATACCTTAATCTGATATGTTTCATTCCCTGTCACACCCATTACTGCAAAAGCCATGAATGCCTTTTTGCTAAGCAAAGCATCCCTAACTAATCCTTAAACTCTTCCTTCCATCCACAGTCACAGAAAGCCTTGATTGACATAATTCAATGTAAATGAAGTAGAAATTTAAAATTTCATAAAAAACCCCAGGGCTATATATGCTGCAAAAAAATCTGCAGTGACTCAATAATAAAAAAAGTATGGGATCTTTGTAGTAATGCAGTTTTCCCTCCCGTTGCCATGAGGAGCTTAACCAACTAAGAAGCCTCAACATGGCAACGGAAACTATCATCATAAAATGGTACAGTAATAGAGATAGCTAGACCAAGAAGGGGCAGGGTCTCCGGGGAAGAGGTCTGCAGAGAGGTCCAGTGACTGGTCATGCGGCTCAGTGTCAGGAATAATGGTTGTATGGTGGAAGGGGGTGCCCAATACCATTTTGGAAGTGATGATGCTGACGATGGGCAAGGTACTCTGTGTAGCTCATTGTCATCTTCTCACTACGGTACCTAGAAAAGAGCAAAGAAGCAAATTCAAGAACTCTTGAAAGCTCCAGGAAGCTGTAAGTAGCACTAAAAATACTGCACTAGCGGTATGTTTCATGATAACAGCTCTGTACTTCTATCTTGGGAATAAGACTAACTTCAGTTGCACAACGGCAGAGAGGGAACTGCCACAGTTGTCAGGGACAATTTGTCACATGACAAATCCCAACACAAGTGCTTATGAAAAATATTTTAAGCAAACAGAACTGCTAAAAATTGTTGTCCACGATGTTGCTCGAAGTAGAGGGAACAGAAACCTATGATTATTTATTGAGAATGTCCCGTATCTTCAGCCAGCTCTCTACATAAAACCTAGGTGAAAAACTAAACAAGCACTACAGATTTTTGGGCTGTTCTTAAACAATCAGTATCAATTGTCTGCCAAATCCTGCTTTTAAAATAATCCTCGCTACATCAAATAGTTACATTCTTTTTGGACTAGAAACATAGAATATCTTGAGTTGGAAGGGACCCATAAGGATCATCAAGTCCAACTCCCTGCTCCTCACAGGACTGCCTAAAAGTAAACCATATGATTAAGAGCATTGTCCAGACACTCCTTGAACTCTGACAGGGTTGGTGCCATGACCACTTCCCTGGGGAGCCTGTTCCAGTGACCAACCACTCTCTCAGTTCAGTGAAGAACCTTTTCCTAATATCCAGTCCGAACTTCCCCTAATGCAGCTTCGTTCCATTTCCTCATGTCCTGTCACTGGTCACCACAGAGTGGAGATCAGAGATCACCTCCCACTCTGCTCCTCCTCCTTGAGGAAGCTGTAGACTGGGATGTAGTCACCACTCAGCCTTCTGCAGGCTGAACAAACTGAGTGATCTCAGCCACTCCTCCTTAGTCTTGCCCTCAAGGCCTTAACCTAATCTTGGTTACCCTCCTCTGGACACACTCTAATAGCTTGATGTCCTCCTTATGTTGAGGCACGCAAAGCTGCAACAGTACTTGAGGTGGGGCCGCACCAGTGCAGCATAGAGTGGGACAGTCACCTCCTTCGACCAGCTAGCTATGCTGTGCTTGATGCACCCCAGGACACGGCTGGCCCTTTTGGTTGCCAGGGCACAGTGTTGACTCATATTCAACTTGCCATCGACCGAAACCCCCAGATCTCTTTCCACGAGGTTGCCTTCCAGCCTCTCGTGCCCCAGTTTGTACATAGAACCAGGATTACTCAGTCCCAGGTGGAGAATCCTGCACTGGCTTTTGTTAAATTTCATACGGTTGGTGACTGTCCAGCTCTCTAGCCTATCCATATCTCTCTGTAAGGCCTCTCTGCCCTTGAGAGAGTCCACAGCTCCTTCTAGTTTAGTATCATCAGCAAACTTAATTATATTTGACTCCTGCACCCAGGTCACTTATAAAAAACATCAAAGAGCACTGGCCCTGAAATTGAGCACTGGGGAACCCCACTGGCCGCCAGCCTGATGTCACCCCATTTACTAAAACTCTTCGAGCCCAACCTGTCAGCCAATTGCTCACACAATGTATGATGGACTTGTCTAGCTGTGTGCTGGACATTCTGTCCAGAAAGATACCGTGAGAGAGTATCAAAAGCTTTGCTAAACAAACCAACCAACAAACAAACCCCACATCTACTGCCTTCCCTGGGTCAACTAGATGGGTGACCTTGGCATAAAAGGAAATTCATTTGGTTAAGTAGGACATTGCCTTGTGAAGCCGTGCTGGCTATGATCAATGACTGTGTTCTCTCTCAAGTGTTTTTCAATAGCTCCCAGAAGAACCTTTTCCATAATTTTACCAGGCACTGAAGGGAGACTGACAGGCCTGTAATCACCAGGGCCTTCCTTCTTACCCTTCTTGAAAAGTGGGACATTTGCCAGCTTCCAGTCAACTGGGACCTCTTCAGACTCCCAAGACCGTTGAAAGATAATGCAGAGGGGCCCCATGATAACATCGGCCAGCTATATGTAACTAAAAGCAGAATCCAGGCCCTGACAACAAATATTTTGGATATACTTGCATCAGTATTGTTTGACAACAAGGAACATATTGCCACATTTACACTTATCTGTAGAAGTGCAAAATCTACACAAAAACAACACTATTCCACATTCCCACAAGTTTTACTTAGAAAGACCTTGCATAAGAGATCTGACAGATGAGATTTCACTAATCCAGCTACAGTGATTTAAAATACTGCCACCTCTCTTTTCTATCATATTTTTCTTCTGGAGTTGCTCTTGTTCTCTCCTCTTTTAGGTCTGAAAAAAACACAACAGATGGCTCAACTACTTGCATTCACAACCCAACACAAAAGTTTAAACTACTGTTGAGTTACCAACTGCAGCAATTCAGGTGGCAACGACATTAGCTTCTCTTGCCTCTTTGCCAGAGGAACAGAGCAACACCTTACAGTTGCAGCTTTTTGCTTCAGTGTACATGTTTCAGAGCACCAAAGGTGCCCACACTTACTTGATAGAGCAGTGTTTGTTAATGATGTAGTAATTTAACAAATGGCTGCTGGTCCTTGCTGCGAGATTAGCTGCAGCTTTTCTTGAATTAATGTGAATGGTGTGCGGCACGCTGCGCTTGGCGAGTGAGCTGGTCTGTGAATGAAATCCCTCACCACTGGGAAACTCAACTACAAGCTTGGCAGTTAATGAAGTTGGTTTTAAGTGGGTCAAAACAGGCCAAAGGCAGCCTGGCTAGAATCACATCTGCTCATTTAAGCAGATGGAAGAGAAAATGCACTTACTATCCTTAGGCATTCTAGACCCCTAGAATCGGCACTCTTCTTCAGCTCCACTTTTAATTCTCTTCTTCAAAACACGGCCAGAGCTACCGGGTATTAACTTGGAGGTAGTTAGCAATAGACAAGTTTTCATCAGCTTAAAGCTTTATTCACACACAGGGCATTTACTTTCATTCAGAGACTTGAAAAAGAAGTTAAAAGCACTTATTCTACTCTTCCAATAAATGTTTTAATGAGGCTCTAAAAAGGTTGTCTGATGCTGTGAAATGGTTACTATTTTAATACTACTGTTTATAATATGTCAGCAGAAGATGAGTTTTTAAGCAGCTAAAACAAAGCAAAAAAAATTTAAAAATTCTGAACATGAAAAATTGTGCTTTGTTTAATCCACTTACCAGGCCAGTGATTTTGCCCACAGTTTGGATGTTGTGAACTTAAATGCACTAAACATGGGGGTTTTGGTGTTCGGGGTTTTTTTGGGGGTGGTGGTGAGGTTTTTGTCAGGGTTTTGTTTGTTTGTTTGTTTTGTTCTGTGCTCACATGTCATTGCTCCAAGCAAAATCATGCAGCTGGAAGTAAGTGTGTGCTATTATAGGGTTTTTGTTTCTTGGAAAAATATTTTCCTTATTTGTTGAGGTGTACAGAAATTGTCATTTAAGAGCTATTCCAGTGTTAGCCCTGCCCTCAGCTATCTCCATATATTCTTTCTGAACAGACAATAGCAAGGTGTACAGCTGAAATAAATTAAAAGGAGATTGGGGTTCTGCATCTGGAAATCTAGCTGGATTCTGTACATCGTCCCTCCCTAGTTTAACCTTCAGAACAGCACGTTTTCCTTAGTCACAGCTACTCCACAGTAATCAGGTTCCTGCAAGAATCCAGAATTCTGAACAGTCATTGGGACACAAAGTCTTTATTCTTCATCTACAAGATCACTGAACAAGTAATTCCTCTAATAGAAAAACAAATATTTTAGTAAGAAATGCTTTGCCTTCTATCTGGTCTAAACATAGACTACTTCTAAGTAATAGCAAGATTTGTAGATGAAGCTGACAAATGTGGAAGCTGCAAAGAACCAAAATCTCATGTCTTTGTCCTATAAAAGTGCATAAACAATCAGGAGAATCCAAGTATTTTCAAATGTCTGAAATGAAAGGAGTGGGTTTTCGTTACGGACAAGGAAGTCTAGTCTGGCTTACACCTAGCTGCACTAAGAAGGAAAGAATTTCCAAATAAATCAGGACACAGAAACGAGAGTAATATATACAACAATTTTAGTACTAGTCTTGTGAGCCTATGAGTCCCTAAAAGTTGATAAAAGATAGGAAGGATAACAGTTTTGGACAAAGGATTCGAACTTTGTTATTTGTATTAATAATATGTCAAGTGTGGCCTCACTGAAGAGGATGAACAGTCAATACTTCTCTGTGATGTAACATTTAAAAAATTCTTGTTTCTCTAAGCATGGAATAGATAACTAGAGTTGAGCAGTCACTTTATACTGCAAGCTTATAAAAAGCTATAGTTTTAGAGGCGTTCTTATGGACATTTACTCCTCCCACCCTTTGCCATATAACTACAATATTATGGGCAGATTCTGCCCATATATCTGCTGTGAATTCTAAAATATTTTGGCTTCCACCCACTAAGAACACTTTTTATTAAATTAGCAAAATCAAAATCCACCTAGTGCGTGAGACTGACAGAGTATGAAATAAAACACTAAATTCCTGTCTTCACTCCTGAGAATACCCTGACACAGTTTAACTAGCACACTGGCTGTCAAATCAGCTACCTAGTTTGCATACCTAACACCTGTGAGATAGGGGAAACCTATACTCCACATGAGATAAAAACGCCCCAACACTTTCTTTGAGAACCGAACAGATTACAAGTGCTGCGGGGCCTCCGTGACGTCACAGCAGCAGACCCATAGTGCGCCGTCTGCTCAAATACAAACTGACAACGGCAAGTAACCCTGGTTAACAACAGCCAGTGAACACACTGCAAAAGCAAGAGCTAATACACTGCTAAGATTTTTCAGGGTTATGAAACAAAATATGCAGGTACCCCAATATTTAACAACAGCCTTTTCTTTCTTGCTTAGTGCCACTAATCCCTATGCCAGGCACAGATGTTCTCAAAAGTCCGTACTGGTATTGTGAAAAGAAATAAGTCATTAGTAATATATACAGGAAACTTTACTATTAATGTCTGAAATAAGCACTTACCAGGAACGAACACATCACAGTATTACAGAAACCGGACTTATCTGTAGTATCCCATGATGCATACCTGGTTAGCTTTATTGTTTTCCTGAATTCATTAGTAATGGGAGCTTTGTAGCCTCCTTTCCTCAATAAGGAGTCTATGGTTTGAATGTGGTCCCATCCTGTTGAATTTTACAGTAGTAAAAATTAGTGAGAAATACAGCAATAAGAATAGATATTGCAAAAATACAGTACAGTATATAGTGCTATTGATAATAGAAGTGCTCTGCTGAAGTTCTGTATAAAACACAGATCATTCTTCTCTAAGAACAGTCGAAGGAAATATAACATATAGGACTTCTTTACACACAGAGTTCACTCTACAAAAAAAACATGCATTTTTATCTCAGAGCTGAAATATTCTAGAAGTGGACCCACTATGTCCAGGAGTCCTAGATTGGGGGCGAGATAGAAAATTAAACTTTCTGAAACATTCAGGTATGATCATGTATCACAATCACTTTATAAATGGCTATAACAGTATGAAAAATTTCTGTATACAACAAAATTTAAAAGCATTATTAGTTGAACATGTGCAGAGAGCTTCAGAGATTAGACTTCTCCATAAATATTACTTTACAGTGACATTTCTAATTTCAGAACCACTGTATTAAAGGTGGCTAAGTAGTAAAAAAATGAGTGATGGATTAAAAATACAGATTTGTTACTGTTCTCAATAAAGTCTTAATACTATTCAAAACTCCTATTTGTTGATTTAAAAAAGCCTTTAAAAAGTAGCTGTTAGACATGTTATTTCCAAAAGATGCAATTAGATTACTCACATTGTTACATTAAAAAAGAAGTACATAAATACAAATGGGTAGTTTGGGCTACTTTAAAGAGTCAGACTGCAATGCATGGTCTACTAGAACTATTTCAAAATTTAAACACCACCACCACAGTTCCTGAATTTAAAAAAACTTTTTAAGTGATCACTAAAGGTCACAACAAAAAAACACTTCTCTAACTAGTCAACCTTAGATTACAAAGGTAAAAAACTTGTCTTGGAAAGCCTCTAAATGATCGTCAGTAAAGTTTTCATCCTATTCCTTAGTAGACTAACTCAAATATAAAAAGGAAAAAAAAAAAAAGCAGCAGCAATGCAAAATGTAAAGGAGTGAGACACAGTGTCAAGCTTGGAAAAAAAATAAACCATAGTGAGTAGTCATAGTCAGAGGCTTAGTCCAAAAGATTACTATACAACAAAATCTACTACACTTTTTTTAATCCACAAACTTAAGTCTGTGCCTCTATTAAAAGGGACTTTAACTACTTTATTTTGGACTTTCATATTGGAAGTAATTCCTGTCCATCCATCAAAAACCTCAGGAAGCCAGCGTTTATAAAAGGAAGTAAGTACTAGCAGAAAGCACCTAACTGAAAAAAAAACCAAAACAAAACCCTTGATCATTGCAAATTTAGGAATAAATCAGCTGTTCATATAATTGACCAGCATAACATAATCACAGCATAACAAGCATACAAAAATTGACAGCTTTTAAGAACTGTAAAGCTGGTTGACAGCACTGTACCACCCCTCCGTATTTTATTTTCCTATAGCTACACTGTGTTCATGACACGTTTAAACAACAGCTACAGTTTACTGAATCCCTGTAAGGGAGTTGATACCGGCATGTAATTGGCATTTTATATAAGAGTCTTCTTACAATTAAATATTGCTCCATCATCTGACATCAGTGCAAGGTCAAATATTGCATTTTAGATTTATACGTATGTTTAAATTCTTCACCAGATCATATGAAATAAAGTGCAACAATGACCTTGCTCCTTTGCAACCTCCGGTAAGTAGGTGGCGGTGCGTTTTGATCCTTTTTCATTGATGAATTCTATTCTAATGCCATGTACACCCACCTGCAAGAAATTGGCAGCTTTATTAGTACATTAAAAGAAAAAGATACAAGAGATTTCTAACATGACAAAACCCAAAATGTGAACCTTTCAGTGGTTAATACCATTTTGCAAAGAGTTTGAAGAGGTGGTACTGAAGTGAATGTAATCTCTTTGAAAGGTGTTCACCTTACAGCCTCGTAAGGTCAGTAGCAGTGCAAACATGGGTCCTCAGCTCCCCACCACAGAGCTTCATTTGTGGTCTGAAGGAAAGCCAGCTGAGGTGCAACAGTCCTTCTGTCTCTGAGTCTACTGTCCCCCTCTGACACTGTCAGCAATGTTGCTGCTGATAAAATCACCTGGTCACCAGATAAATTCTGCAGGTAACCAAACAGCTGGCAAATCTAATGATGCTTCAATTAAGAGCATTAATTTTGTTCAAAGTAACAACTGAATAATGAAAGATTTGTCACACCACAAACTTGAGCCTGGAGACTTGAAAATTTCTGGTAATGTATGATGAGGAAAAGGAGATATTCCAAAGCATTCAGCTTCAAACTCCTATTTCCATGCTACTAACTACTCTAATATGACAAAATGCCAGTATGGAAACTAAAATTACTAATACCAAGGAGTTAGATGTATATAAAGTGAACTGCAAAAAAACCCAAAAAAACCAAAAACAAAAAAAACCCCAAACAACTAAAGAAAAAATAAAATGAAATGAGTCTAGGCACCTTTCCAGGGCATTCTTTAAGCACCCCTGTTTTCAAGGTACAATAATTCTGTTGAGAGTACCTGCACTTGGATCAGGCATGCCATAAGAGATATTCCATTGCCAGTAAGTTTTCAGTTGCTTTTGAGTTCTGTGCGTAAACACAAAGCATTAGTAGATGGACATTTTTGTTCTCATGCCCACATAACTAAGATGTTATTTCCATTTAAATCCAAAGTTCCCAACATTGTATGTGGAAATGAATCGTTTATGTTTAAAAGGGTATCATGTTATTTGGTATGGCACTTCTTTTTGGACACAAAATTAATTGAAAACGTTGTAACAGTTTTTCCAGTGACAGCCTATTTTACTGTAACTGCATGACAGTCAAAAAACAAGGGATATTTACAAAGCTCTACCCCTTGTTCAAGTAACATATTTGCTCATTTTAATATTATATTTTTAAATCTTTTATAATCTTTATATAGGACATAAGCATGGGGAAACAGGAGGAAGAGTCTCTCCTGTGGCCTCAATAATTTTTCCCCACAAACCTAACATTTCTTAAATAGAAAAAATTACTTTGATTCTAATGAATTTAATTCACTGCAAATTTTAATGTGATGCTTCATTACCAAACACTCCTAAACCTAACTTTCATAACATGGATATATAATCACTAGACAGATCAAATCTGTGTACTCAGATGACGTAATTATGAACCCAAAGGGCCTGAAAGTAAAATGAAACCGTGTTAGAGGCTGAAATGAGCCTACTGAGTTCATTCCAAGAACAGAGTATAAGTATTTGCAGCTGGTGATTTTGTAACTGTCTATATTCAATTGCCTAAGCACAAAGATCAAATATTTTCAGGTTTTGCACACCTTCAAATCCTGCAGAGTATTAGATTCTAAATTCTACACAATGGTTTTGCGTAATAGTGATCATGCAGTATTTGTGAGAAACTAACCAGAAGCACTAGTGATGTATTAAGTATGACGCAACATTCAAGCAGTAGGTAATTGCATTGCACTGGATGTTTCCCGTTAACCATTTTAATGGACTTTTAGGCCCACGTCTGTAGAAGAAAAAAATGTAGAGCAAAATGAATAAGGCAACACAACTGCACCCACAGTTCCTCTGGTTGGAAACATTTCGTAGCATTCTGTGAAGCATGAATTCCAACCGCACAGCTAAGCAGTACTCTTCGTTCGGTACAAATGGCTTTTCATTGTTCAGCTCCAGTTAATCAAAGACAGGCCTGAGTTAAACTAATGGAAGCTACACACAAGCAAAATAAGAATGATCCACACTGGCACAGGCACAGTTAGGAATTTATTTTGACTTCCTCACGAGACCAACAGTCCTGCATCGATGAAAACTTCTGTGAAATTTCCCAAAATATTCCTCTTCAATATGGGAGGTAAGGGGTAGGTACATGTTTGGAAGGCATTAACTGGCCTGTAACTGGCTTGCCTGCCAGGCTCTGCACAGAACATTATACAAAGCCTATGGCACACTTCTCAAACTAAAAATACTGATACAATACAGGCAAGTTTTTGTAGAATAACAACATCTGTGCAGTTCAGAAAAACAAACCAAACAATCTTCTTCTGCAGATGGAGATTAAGTTCTGTCTCATCTATTACCATTTCTTAGGGAAATGACTACATACAGGTATCTTGAGCGGCAGAAAGGCCACACAATTTCTGTATCGGCCTCCCAAATGGATCAGAATCTATTTAGACTGTTGTTACTGGGAGAGGGAAGTGAGATAGGGAGAGAGGCTTAGAAAGGCAACAAACCAGTCTTCTCCAATAGAAATATTTCTATAGGGTTTTAGAGCATGAAGTACTGTATACTATGTATACTTGTGAATATAAACATTTTAGCCCACTGTGTAAGTGGCCAGAGGCTACCTAAAACTAGGTCCAGCGAAAATATTAATTAAAAAACACAGACCTTTCACTAAATTTAAGGATTGCATTAAACAACGTTTTTTATTTTACTTCAGAAGTGACCTCAACAGAACCTCAGACTTTGTGGTGCATTTATACGCATTTATATTCACTCATATGCATTCTTTTAATTAATCGTTTATTTACATACACCTCGCGATGGGGCAAAATATGCATACACTACATTTTTGTTTTCCCAAGCGCTTCTGGCACTTGCTAGATTATTGCCCATATCACCTCTCTCCATATATCTATCTCAGCTGGGCTAAGAAAAAATTGTTCCAAAATGCACCCCGATACTGAAGTTCAAGGAACTCTCCTGTTTGACTGTTCTGAGTCAAAGTTGCAAACAGAGTTTACAAATCTGTTCCTCTTGTACTGACTCTCCAACCATACTGAGAGGAAGAAATAACATTATACTCGTCAGACTATCAACATGGAAGTTGGATAAGCATCTAAAACATCAAGCCTTATTGAAATCTAAGCTTCTAGTCCACTGTGGAGTGGACATTAGTAGCAGTAAATTATCATCAGATAATAATTTTGTTCAGTTTTATCTACTGCACTGAAACCTGTAAGAGATTTGCATGCAAGTATCACTAGCTAGTTTAAGATGAATAAACTGTAAACATTTTTTCAGAAATACATTAAAGCAGATAACAAAGAATCCACATGGAACACCCCAGAACTGGAATAGTGCAACACCTCCTTGGTGTTAGAAACAAGTGTCCGCCTGTTCCTGGAGTTCACTCACTGTTTGCTGTTCTCCCCGGCTCAAGACTAGAAACATGGCTCCATGTACAATCCCTACTGCCAGCTCGCCCGTTAAACTGCGACAAACTCTGCCTGCCTGCCACTCAGCACTCCCAGTACAAGCATTCCATAACCACACGATGAACCAGATGAGGCTGTTCTGGGTTATGGCTAATCCTTCTCCTGACTTACAGTTTGTTGTCTCAATCTTTGAACTGCAGCAAGCTATAAATATTTTCAAACAAAAAAGCTGGCCTATAACTTGTACAGTATTCCTTACAATACCACATAACATAGTAACTTCCCCTTTATTCACCTAAGAACAACTATGGAATTAGCTGTATACAAACTTGTCTGGAAATGGAATGCTTCAGGTTAAGCGACTTACTTATTAGAAGCTGACTCCACTTTTTACAAAGATGAAGTCACTGAATATTGTCCACAGAGAATAAAATACTGAGGTCAAGATTCTTTCTTCTCTGTTCTATGGAATATGAGCTGCAAGAGCTGCTGGTGCTGCTGCACTTGCAAGAAGGAAAGAACTTCCACAACTCTTACATGTGCTAACTTTGTCAACAATGAAAAGCCACCTTTCAGTCAACATTATTGGCCACAACTACTTAAGCTGATATTTAAACAAGTGCACACAGGCTAAAGGCCTTTTGTATCAACATGGCAAGCCTGTACAATTCTGCGGATTTTACTTTACTGAAGAACAGCAACTTCAGGACAAAGATTTCTTTCAAGGTATTTTAAGGAAGAGCCACCGGTCAATTCTAGTTATTTGTTACCCTGTTGGAATTACAATAATGTTTTCAAAAAAGTTTCTTATTATAATTACATACAATCATAATGTTTTATGATGTTTTACTGTAAAAAAATGGGGAGAAGGTCTGAAGTAGCAAGAGAGGCTTTACCTTCTAGAAAAAACCTCCACAGATTCTTAAAGTAGTGAGAAAATAAATGAAAAAGGTGTTCATTTGCTATAACATGAAAGAGAGAGGGAATGAGTAGAGACACTTTGCTTTTCTCTTCTGTACTTCTAGGAAGAAAAGCATGCAGGGGATACATGAAATCATTTGCCATTGTAACGTACCTTGCAGCCATACCCTCTCAAGGAGGCAGAGCCTGTAGCACCAAAGCTGGAATTGCAAGAGCTACAACATGATCACACCTTAGATATGCCATTTCTGGGATCTGAATCCACTCACAGGACCCTCTGAGTGTAAGCTTATTTGCCAAATTGCTGACTTAACAGGATTCGCAAATCAAGCAGGAGCTCCTTCTGAAGGACCCGATGCCCTGATACTACAGAGTAATCTATTCAAACTCTTCTATTCCCTCCTTTTGGGGTGCTGCTAACTACACACGCAGTTCCCAGTGCAACATGAGATGCAAGTATATCTGCATTAAGAATCAACAGCAAAATTGGAGGCATCTTGAGGCAGGAATTCAAATGTGTACAGGAAAGAAAAGACTTGGTAGAAGGACAGATCCAAAAGATGAGCTCAAGGAGAACAGAAATATGGACAAAGCCGAGTTTACGTGGGGAAGGAACGACTGCTATCAATATCAAATGCGTTTAAAAATAACTGGTCTTTATGACTTGTCTCCCAACAAAAATTCTACCAGTTTTAACTTTGACTTCTAGCTTGGTTTAATAAAAATTACTACAGTTTTCATTACTCGACAACATTATTTAAAGTACTCTAATGGCTCAGCAAGAAGAGAAACTACTACTTGAAAAAAACTTCTTGTTGAGAATGCACACACAATTTCAGCTACCATTTATTTTTGGTCTAACATTAGATAAAAATTTAGTAATTCTGATTATGGTGAAAATGCTGATAAACTCCAAAGGAAACTTACATTCATCTCATTCAGAGTTACCTATCAGAAGGTAAGAAGCCCTTGTCATTATGAGTTGAACAGGAAACGCATTTTATTTAGAATTTCCGCTCCTGTAAAATTCCTAATGCTGAGGTTACTGCTGGATACCACCATTCTGATACAGTAGGGCCTCTTACCATTCATAACAACAAATTATATTTGTATTCCATATACATTTGTTACGTGTGAATACGATAGAAAGCCTGTTTTTTTCTCTTAAGAAATCCTAAATATTTAATAGGGCTAAGTCATTATTAAAGGGAAATACTGTAACTTGTGTGGTGTCTCTGGCATTATAATATGCTTGCTATCATATATGACAATTTCAAGAATTTTTTTATGTCCACTCAAATATACACCCAAAGAACAACAAAACAGTCATACTGACCAAGAAGTTCATTTTAAGTCCAGTAACTTGTTTTTTGCAAGTGTCTAATACCAAATAATTTGGGAAAAAGCAGAAGAATACACAATGACACTTCCTTCAGTGTACCTTCCCAGAAATAATTCTAAAAGCGGCATTTGCTTCTTAATCTCTTTTATGCTGCTGTTCCTAGGAAATTGCATGCAGGTTTCCTAGAACCTAACATTTAAAATAGATTCAGCTCCATGCATAAGCAGCAAAGAAAAACAAGAGCAATGATTTACTTGGCCTCATTGTACAAGGGCTTTGTGGGGTCTGTGCAGGCCACTCGCTCTTGAAAGCAAAGAAGGTTTTGGAAAAGATAAACAGTTCACTCCTACAAGCTAAGTAAGGCGGCTTGTTTTGGGATTGCAGTTTTTTGCAGTGCTTGTTTCCGGAAGCAAACATCAGACTATTAACTTTCATACTGGAACATCCTCCTTCCAGAATCAATGGACGAATCTACCATGTTTCTGCAGTTAGCTATGCTGCAAAAGAGGTCTCAGGACACCATCACTCAGACAATACCTTGCTTGACGGAGTCTTAGACATAAATACAGCTGGGCAGACCACTCTTACTTTGAGTGCCTAAGTGGGCAAGAATACAACTTTATTCCATTTTCATGGCTCAGACTTTTAAGGTGATGACAGGTCTATCAAAAAGGATTTTTTGAATCTATGCACAAAACAATGTGTATAGCATGCAAAACAGTGACAACTGCACTAAATATATGCATATAATTTAAATGGTGTGACTTCTGCTATAGATGTTCATGGTACCAAAGTAATCTTCTTAAAGGATATCTGACATCCTTACCTCCCAGTCCATGTAGTCACATACATCTTCAAAGTTAGTGAGTAGAGACACTGAGCAGAAAAGCCGTGGCAGCTCATCCCTCGTCATTGGGGGGAAACGACTATCTTTAAGGGCACTGTTGAAGACAAAACAGAATTTCAAAGGATTTTTTGTTTGTTTGGTTTTTTTTTTAAGTTCAAGGATCTAATGAATCAACTGAAAAGTATAAAGGAATAAAAAATTCCTGATGAAATTACCAGTTTGATAACCCAGTTGCCAGTGTAACACACTGACCAACATTCCCAACTTTTTCCTTGTTTCAGTTCTTGGCTGGCCAGTCAGGTGGTGGTCTGAAGGTCATTCCTTCCCGAGCTGATTTTGCTACTGTCACAGTCTTATTAATGAGGGAAATTGGGAAAAACCTAGCAAAGCAATGGCTCTTCTCCTTGCAATTTAGTAAATCCCTTTCAAAATGGATTAAGCTATACAACATAAAGTAGAGGTGGAAATTCTATAGCCTGCAATAATCAAACGTGTAATACAGTAATCAAACTGTAGAACTTAATTATTCAGTGGGGAAAAAAAAAAACAAAACAAGCAGAATATTCTCCAAAAAAAAGAGTAATATTCATGCTTAACTGGCAAAGGTAAATATAAAAAGGTGAAAACATCTAAGGGGTGTAGAGACCTGTAAACTTACAGGACTTGAAGATGTTCTGCAAAGCAGAGGCAATGATTAGTAACAGGGAAGCTTGCAAACAGCTAAGCTAATCCTCAGGCTAACGAACCGTTCTATAGACAAGCATACACCCAGTGGGGTAAAATTCAATACAGAGAGGAGCGATCTGTGCACATTCCAGCACGCTTTGAAAAACAAAGCGGTTAACAGGCAGTAAGCAGTACCACGAGTAAGAACATTTGTAAAAGCCTACTTACGCAAGTTTGGTTAAGAACCAGTCAAACTGGAAAAGGGAAGGTTAAAGTGAGTATAGTATCTCATAATTTTTTAAGAGTTGAAATACAGCATGTATGAATACAAACATGCTCATCTCCAGCAAAAACAGTGATCTGCTAACTGAGCTTTTATAAGGAGTAAAGAGAGACCAAAATTAAGAGGCTTACTAAAGTACTACCAAGTTCTTCACGTGTCTCATTGTTTCATCTAACCATTAGATCATTCTCATTCCTTTTACTTGGCATACAGCCAGTGGTTGCCATTAGCTGATATAGTTATAGCCATGGCTATAGTATTTAGAAGATGGCTGAAGTCTCTGCATCAGATACCACCCATTTTCTATAAAGAGTAGTGTAACTTTATTAAAGCAGACCAAATAAGGATGCATAAACAAAATAATAAAGTTTAGCTAAAGGAAATCGTCATGTGTGTAACCAGAAAGAGCTTCCCATCATGAATTAACAGCATAAACTGAAGAGTTTATTTTTCTGGGGTGGGGGGAAGGCAGGCCTTTTTCCCAGATATGCTGCAATTACAAAAGAGAACACAGTATTTTAATTTAGACTAGAAGCCCTTCTCCAAGCTTCAGTATTTTTACATTTACATTAGGTCAGAGGTTTAGATTTTCATTATGAAGACAAATTCATTATACAATGAGGTAACAGCTAGCAGGCCTACGCTACTCATTGTTCAGGAGTAACTCTAGGCCACCCTAGGTAAAGTTGCCATAGATGCGAGAGAAGATGCCGGGCCAGTAAGTAACTAGCCAAGATAAATCTTTTGACATTTATGTAGGACAGACAGGCCTACACAGACCTGTGACGAACTGGGAACTAAGGAGATTTAAAGCATAATGCCTGTGATATTTAACTAATGACTTTCACTGAAAATGTATCTAAAGATGGTACTCTCCAAGATTTTGTTGATGGGATCTGGAAAGCTAGCTTTGCAGCTCTTGGGAACCACACAAAGTTACCATCCTCTGTTGCCTGGTGTTTCAGCAACGTCAGAGATCAACTCATATAGCCACAGCATAATAGCAACGTACAGAAATACAAACAGCTAATTCAGCCTTCCTCATCCCTCCACACGAGGAGGGGGGGAAATATATATATATGTGTAAAGGGACGATACTCTGAACACAGGGACAGCTCAAAGCAGAAGTCCATCTAGCTTACTATTAATAACCAACAGCAGTTAACAAAATAAATGAATATAAGAACATGGTAAATACTATGGGGTGCTTTCCTGGAATACTCTCCAGGAATCCAGCTGCTTATAGCTTAGCTATTTTGAGCCAGAGACAGTATCTCTGCAAAAAGCTCTTCAAGGGTTTATTTAATAAGCACATGCATACACACTTTTAATATTTTACCCCACCTTTTACTAAAAACTAAAGTTATGCTTAGAAACCCCAATCCTCTTAAAATTCATTGCTAATACAAGTTTGCTTATATGCAAATTTCTCATTTCCCTGAGGTATGCCGTACTTCTGTCATAGAACCAATCCACTGGAAAACACTACTGAAAAGCACCGAGACACAAGCATTATTTCATTAACAACAAACTTGATTATCTTAGAAAACAACTGTATGCATGGATATTGCCAATACTTGTTTAAACCTCATTTGCATGATTTATGCAGCAATCTTACCATGCAAAACATTTCCCATAATGTAAGAATTTATAACCTTCAAAATACTTTTTTTGCACAACTCAATGCTAGGAGTTTACCTAACTTTCAGTTCCCCCTCCTAAACCTGCCAAAATGCACATGTGAATTGTAACTTTTTGAAACAAAGGCTGTGGTCCCAATAATATTAGCAGTAAAAGCCTCAGGCAAATTCCCACTCCTTGAAGATCTGCTGCACTGGCATTACCAGAGGAGAAACCATCCTAATTTAACATACTTAAGTTGTACAGAAACAAGCATCCTACAATGCACACATAAGCCACGTCTCAGCTAGCCTGCTCAAATGCCAAGATAATAATTTGAAACAAGATGGGTGAATTGTGACAACTTTGAATATTTGTAAAAAGTTGAGATAGGAAACCTTCATGTGAAGACAGCGGAAGCAGAAAGGCACACAAAGGCACAAAGCCCTCAGGCATATACAGCACACCAAGCAGTTCAGTTTTAGCAAAAGCAGAGCAAGGCAGCAAACATTGCTGGCTTATGAGCAACTTAGCAGGCCAGTTCCATTATTCAGTATGACACTGGCACAAATACCTCGCTTTCACACAACTACCTCACGATAACTAAAATACTGTTTATCAGACGATAGTGCCATTTCAGCTATACCTAATTCCTTCAGAACTGCTAGGTGCTATTTACCTGTACAGCCTGCTGAAAAATTGCTCCTCAGCACCTCCATGTTTATACACCCCTGTGCAGACACCCTGTATTAGCACTGATGCTGCTGAAGGTAAGGGAGATACCTGGCAGAGCAAGATCAGAGATTTGAATAACAGTCTCTGACACCATTGTGACAGGTCAATACAGAACTGCTGCTATTCTATTCCTCCTTTCCCTGTCTCCAGACCCCATATTACAGTTTGTTTTCATCTTTCAGAACAGCTTTGTCTCTGTTGTTATATAAGAAAAATCAAAATTTACCTGGAGAAATTTGTGCTGACGCTCGGCAATTGGAACAAAACATACTGAAGGGAGATGCCAACAAGAGAGCATTTATTTGTACTGGTTAGCTACACATGGAATATTGTCTGCTAATGCAAAATTTATAAAACTAAAATAGTCCAGCAATTACATCAGGTGCCAGTTTTAGAATAACTAGCTTAAAACGTAATAACCCTGCCCTAATGAGTTTTATCTAGGTACATCATACACTATTTTAAAACCAGGAAACATTTACCTTTTAAGTGCTGTATATTACAGTTAGAGTATCAGTCATCTTCTCAATCATTCTTTTATTACTACCATGGTTGAAATTAAATTCCAGACACCTTCTGAAAACCTAAGAGCAGACCAGCTTTGTATCATCTCTTCACAAATTAACTGTTTTCATTTTTGCATTTTTTAATGCTTGGTTAGCAGGAGACGTAAGTCATTAGAGACGCTTCCCTTCAGAATTCAGCCGTTATCCTTAAGCCTTAACTTTATCTCTGTGGGTAGTGAATAAAGCACCATCTACTGACTGTTCTGATGTCAGTAAAACAAGAGGCTGGTCCAGTAGTGTTCCTCGGGGGCAGCCGTCCACACTGCACGAAACCGAAGCTCTCAATGGTTAACAGACTGGCATCACCCCGGAGGCGGCAGCAGATCTCACCACTTACCAAGGATCAAACAGCTTGCATGAGCTTTTACTGTTGTTGTTCCTGGTCTGGGAGGAAAGAATAGAGGTTTCTAGAGGTACAGGCTGGCACTTAACCATACGCTTCATACACTCTACAAAGATCTATGTAGGCAGATTCAGACTTCTGCCTCACTTGTCATGCTGGTATGGCTCTCGGTGACCAATTCAAAGCAAGCATAAAATACAGACAAGGTAACGTATGCTTGTCTTCCTCAAAAGCATGTTACTGGTCTGAGCTGCTCAGATTGAAAAGTCACTGCATAATTGTGTGTCAACAGATGGGTAGGTAGACAGGCAGAGGAGACTTTGCTCTGTTTATAAGATGGAAGCATTATCTTTGTAGTATCAGAATGTAATTTTACAATCTTATTCAATGCTATATTCTTCTGTTAATTCTTCTGTTAGAAAGACAAAAGGATTCTTATGGAACAAAATCTGGCATACTAGATACCAGGTTTAAAAAATATTAACTCCACAATTTTTCAAGCAGAGTTCAAAACTACTTTTAAAGAAAAAAAATACTCATTTTAAAAGCATTTTCTAAACCATCTGTTCATTATTCCTTAATGCCCAGAACTAATTTACACATATTGCTGCTGACTAAACGGAAGTACATGGTAGTGAAGAGTTGAAAAGAAGCAGTGCCAAGCAAGGGGAATTCCAGCTGGCCAATAAAAGGACATTAGCTTTCCCACATGGAGTTCTGCTCCATGTTAAAAGTGAAGGCAGGCAAAGTCAAAATTGAATCCTGTTCAAAGAAAACTATATTTAGACACAAAATGCATGCACACACACACAGCCTTTCTGTTAAATACTTTATTTATGCAGTCTTGGGTGTCCTACTAAGATCAAGTCATTGTCAGTCAG